CCGCCCCCCACACCCATGTTGATGTACCTCGACCCAGGGTGGCCACAGCGGCCAAGGGCTTGACCCTGCAGTCCAGCTCCAAGCATCTTGCAAGAGCTGTTTCACCAATTTGCCGATCTTGGAATGCAAGAACCAAAGGCAAGCAGCTGAGCTGGAATGAAAGAAAGAAGCAAGCAGCCGATGTTGCAAGCCCAAGGATTGAGCTGTCATTCCTCGTGCCATACTTGGAGGACAGTTGCCTTTTCATTCGCGGATGATGATGGATGTATGCCCTTTCCGCCGAAGAGTCTTTCTGTCTCTTGCTGTTTGTGGCGTATCTGAAACTGACACTAAGGTTCTCGCCCATTATTCTCCTTGACTGGACCTTGCAAGCGCCGTCAAACCCAGAGTGACATCAGTACTCTGCGGAGCCACGGTCAGAATATCCCGGCCCTTTCTACGGGCACGAGCAGATTCGTGAGCGGGAGAAAAAAAGGGGGGGAAAAAAAAAGGCGTGAGTCCCACACGTCCCCGACAAAAATAGGTGTGCGTTGAATTCATGTTGGACCCCCCCAAAAGGTTGGCTTCCTCTTGTCCCTTTAAACCCTCCGGGCATACCTCCGAGAAGAAAAAAAAAATGGACAGATCCAAATGGGTGTGGCTCAAAATTTCAGAGCCAGGGCAAACGGCACGACGTGTTGGTCTTTGGTTCCATTTCTCTTTTGGTGCCATGTTGGGCTCCATTTTGGGAGCCACAGATCCACTTCGACCATAAAAGCCGCTGAAAGACCCGCTGAGACCGGGACATCTCAGCAGCAGGTCCAGGAAATCCATGCAGTCTCTCACCTCCTGAAGACATCGGCGAGAGCGAGAGCGCACCGCGTCTCATCAAACCAGGGTGTGGACCGCAGATTAAATTGTCCATGTGTCCAATTGCCTGGGTTCCATTTGGGTCATGTTGACCCCATATGAATTTCAACCAGTTCATCCGTCAACCAAGCAGTTTATTAAATTCAGGGGTCTCCCTGGGTGTGGAAAATCAGACCACTTTTGGAGAGGACCCCCCCCTCACCCCGATTTAATATTCACTGAGGTTGATTCATATGGGTCAACATTACAGATCCGAAAACCGAAATGACCACCACTTCGCAGTTGTCAGGCTGAAATCAGCCTGCTTCAGCCTCAAGCACCGAGAACTCTGCCTGCCTTGAAGATGCTGGTGGCGAAGACGAAGACGCAAACCTCAAGAGGGCAGGGTCCAGAACTGGCCATGGCTCAAAATCCAAGTCGTAACCCCCCAGTGAACATCGGATTCAATCCAACCACTATAGACTAAATTGAGTGAATTCACCTACCAACCAAAATGGAATCCCAAAACGGTTTTGACGACCACAGCCATAACTGCCCACAGACCTTTGCGCTCGAACGACGCGACCTTGCCTTTCCAGAGTACCTTCCCTGAAGAAACCGACCCTTGTGGGGCTGCAAGCCATGGACTGGGGGTGTACTTCAGATTCCTAGCTGCTCAGCCGGCCAGCTGCATTCTATTTCTCGGAAACCTTGGCAATGCCATATGGCCATGGGAAATCCCGTACCCCCAGATGGGTGGTGCACCTACCCCAAAATGGTACCACTTGTTTTGACCCACAGCCATCTGCTCTTACCAGCAACTTGTGATGCCAAGACGGGCTTTGCCAGAGATGCAAAAGGCCAACCTCGCCGGTTCAGCCGCCGAGCTCTCTCTCAGGGCTTCCCGGCCAACTGCAAATATGGCTTCTGCGATCTGCACCTCGTGTCTCCAACTCCTTCAAACGCCAAGCCTTTCGACTCGTCCCTCAAAAGAATAATGGGCCAGTGAACAAATCCACCATAGAGGATCCCGCGGAGGTGTCCCGGCCGAAAAAATGAGGGGTCCCAAACAAAGGGCACCAACTGAAGAGGAGCCCGCTCCCGCTCTTCACAGCTGGTTCAACCCCCTGCCCAACTGCACAACGAAGAAAAGAACAAAAACACTTGCGGCCATGCTGCTGCGCGCCCTCGTTCTCCCTGCGCCAAAAGGCCCACCAAAGCGAGTCCAACTCTCTCTCTCTCTCTCTCAAGGGGGTCGTGTTCTATTGAGGAAGCCTTTTTTAATGTTGGTTGAAAGGAAAGGTCAGTTAGGGAACCTGACGGGGGTTTTCCATAAAGAAGCATCCCCCAAAGGTTAAGGGGCATCCTTCGGTTCCCTTCAATTCCCTCCACGACACCCATTCTCTGCGCCCATTGATGGGAAGCTACTCCCTTCAGAGTGTTCCTTGCCAACTGCAACATGGAAAAGCCAATCTCCACTTTTGATGGCAACTCCCTTCAGAGTTGCCAGTCAATCTGCATGGATGTCCCTGCATTTGACACTTGACAATGCCCCTTTTTGACAGCTGCTAGAAAGTACCAAATACGGAAAGAAAAAAGGGCTGTTAAAGCCCAGAAAAAGGAGCAGCCTCAGCAAGGAAAGCAGCGGGAACAGTTCCAACGGGTCCCGAATGAAAATGGCCCTGTATTCAGGGGCCCTCGTCTTGTCAATAACTGCGGGGGCCTTGCTGGCAGACGATATGAGCGACCGCGAAAGCAAGCTGCGGTCTGAATGATGCCTGCGTTTAGCTCTTTGGCTTGTACGGCAAACGCTCCCTCGCCGAGGTGCTGATTGATCTTGTGAATCCTGGAGACGAACAGCAGCTGGATGCCAAAGTTGACCTCAAGCTGTGGCTGCCAAAATCTTCGATTGCATCGTTCACTCCAGATGTGTTTTGGAAAACGTATTGAAAATCGTTAGATTTGTTGCAGAACAGGGCAACAACATCTCCAGACGCAAGTGGTTGTCATTCAGCAAGACAATTTGATCAGCGGTCTTAGGCTCGTCCTGGTGGCTTATTTTCGGCCGCTTCTTTTCGCGCCATGCCTACTCAAAACTGTCCCTACGCAGTTCGTTTAGCAAACCAGCCTGGCATCAAAAAAAAGCCAGGCTCAAGAACAGGAAAAACAGGGCTCTGAATGAATTTGAAGAGACGGGGTTTTCTTGATGGTGCCCCCCAAACAGGGCTCCCCAAGTACCTTCCAAAGGTTTATGCTCTGCCTTCCCCGAACGTGTGCTGTCCGCTGCTGCTCAAAGCAAAAAGCGTCAAGAAGATCCAACCTCTTGGTCACGCGGGAAATCGAGATCAACGACCGAACCGAAGCTACCGGCCATTTGGTTGGGACCCCCTTTCGGCTTTTGGGGCCCTTCCTTTTGGGGCCCTGGCAAAAGAAAAAAACACTTTTTTGGGGGATTTTGGCTTGTGGGGCCCTTCCAAAAGAAAAACTTTTTGGGGAAGGCCCCAGCAGACGAAACCCGGAGGAGGGCTGGTGCACCGGGGCCTCAAGAGAAGCTTCAGCCCACGGGAAAAAAGACCTCCGGGCGGCTCCCGGGCGGCTCCCGGGTTCGGGTCCCACGTGGGGCGGTGTGCTTTTTCTCAGGGACCGGGACCCCTAAATTGATGGGTTTTCCTTCGGTTCCTCGGTGAAAACCTAGCAAAAAAGAACAGGTATCCAAAGAATAAGAAAAACATCTCGGCTGTGTCCTTCTCTTTAAAAAAATGATGGCATCCTCTTTGAAAACCTAGCAAAGAAGAAGAACAAGATATTGGCTGTGTCCTTTTCAAAAAAAAAATGAGGGTATCATCTTTGAAAACCTAGCAAAAAAGAACAAGCATCCAACAAAACAAAAAAAGAGCTATCCACGTTCCGGCGATTAGCTGAAGAAGCGAGCCGCAAAATGATCCCCCCCCCCCCCCCGCCCCCCCGCAGCGGTGCAGCCAAGTTGCCACCAGGAAGAAGAAGGTCCGCACCATCTCCAGGAAGAAGATGATGGGGCCTGGAGTGGGTGGCTCGTCCTTTTTTTTTGGGGAGGTGCCCAACTTTTTGAGGGCTTTGAAGGGAAACCAAAAGGAAAACATATCCAAATTCAGGGGGCCCCGTTCTGAAGCACAGAAGCCTTTGTTGTACGCTCTTGCCAACAATTAATCATGGAACTGGACATGAGAGTTTTAGAAAAAGTCCCGTGGCTGCCCGGGAGCTTTCCCCAGAGACTTTTTTTTCACCTCATTGAAGGACTCAGGCCCCTGTCTCGTTCCAGAAGTGCAGCGCATGCCCAAACTGACGGAAGCGAACGTGCTAAGAAAACCGACAGAAGAGAGCAGAAGCGAGCACAACACGGCGTCTTTCGAGAGAGATGGAATGAGGCTAGGCATCCTGTTAACGGAAACCACCAGTTGGATGGTTTATAGGGTGCATTTCATTTCTCATTCCCTGCATTTCTTGCACCCATCGCAAGTCCTGTCTTCGAGGCGGTGTGAGCGAGCCCGACCGAGGTACCGGCCATCCACCTTCACGTTCAGCTGCAGCGGCTCGATGACCTCAGCGCACGAAAAATGGCACACGATTCGGCTCGATTCGGCGGTGAGCGGCTGGAGGTGAATTGGGATGGGAAGCTCTTCCAACAACTCCCGGGTGGTGTCCAAACTCTGAGTACATGATGTCCAACCCCATGCCCCAGGCAAATGAACCGAAACCAAAATGGCAAGTTTTGGTTCTAAAAAGTTCCGGTATTGATCCCTTTCCTAAGCGGCTCGTGCCACGGACCATGCTTCCATGCTTCCATGCCGGGCCGCGAAAAGGCCATAGAGGTCGCAAGGCATGGACAGCTTGTCGTAGCTGTGACTCGTGTTGCTGTTCAAGGCTGTGCCAAGACCGCCGCTGTTGTCCTTCTCCTGTCTGACGCTCAGCTGGAACTGCTAGACCGCTGAACAATCAAACACAAGCAGGTCTATGTACCTAGAAAAACTCCAAGCGATTCAGGCAGAACTTTTCTTATTACGTGTACGTGTGCCTGTTCATATGCTTGCACAGGGAGCACTCTTGTGCGTGCGCAGCGCAATGCACAGTGGGAATGTGACCGTGGCTGTGGCTCAGCACTGCTTAGAACCCTTGACTTCGCAAAACCGCACAACTATATCGTGGATCTGTTGCCTTGCACGTGTTCAGAAGTGGACGGTCCAAAAGAGTCATTGGCCAGTGACTGACCTTTGTTTCATGTCGAAGTATCCTGGGCAGGGGGTTGCAGGCTAGCGAGAAGTTGACGCACCCACCCAAGTCCAAGCAACTTGCGCAAGTCTTACAGTACTTGGCACACGACACATGATCCTCCAGCAAAGGTGACACACCCACCCCACCCACCCCACCACACCCCCTCCTTCTTTGGCTCTTGGGACCTTCCCTCCGAAGCCGTGGTGGAGCTGGTGGAGGGCGTCTCAGACTGGCGCCGGGGCATCATGGTCCGCAGCACGCTCGCCATCGCGCCGAGTCTCTCTCTCTCGAGCCAAGGGACTAGCGGCAGAAGATCCCAAAAGGAGCGCACATGGATTCCAGTTCACAAGCAGGAAACTCTGCACCCAGCAAATAAGATTTGACCAAAAACTTCCCGCGGAATTTCCGGGGGGAAATTCCGAGAACCGCCATGCTTTTTTCCTCAGCTGGGAAAGGACTTCTTCTTCTCGCGCTCGATCTCAGTTGCCGTGAAGGCCTTGTCGAAAATGCCTGTGCTTCAAGGCGATGCGCCGAGCGAATGATTCCTCCCGCTGTGTCAGACGTGGGCATGGCTCAAAATTGAACCAGGATATGGACCCCAGGTTTCCATTTACCAGGGTTCCATTTGGGGTACCTATTCTTGACCCACAGCCATATGAGCTCAAGCCATGGTGGTTCCTTCAATGGGAATCCTTGTAGAGGTTGTCAAACCCTACAGGGTCCACCATGCCCAAGCAACCAGTTCTTACATACTCGCTCATGTGGCTTGCTGTGTTTCAAGCCTCTTCAGTCAGTCTGTGTGCGCAGAAGTCCCTGCCTTTACCCTTTCCGCAGTCAGAAGTGGAGGCCCAAAAAAAACGTGGCTTGTGCTTGCAGCTGCTGAGTCTGCAGATCAAGTCAAGCGAGCTGAGCAAAAACTTTCAGCTATGCAGTTCTTTCTGAATATTCCCTCCCCAAGTTCTGTGCCGTTTGTCCGGCGCGAGAGGTCTAGCGGCGATTGCTTCAAACGCACGGAAAAGTGCAAATCCTGCTAACCAGGACGCCCTTGGGGTGTAGATACTGATGACAAACCATCGAGTTTAACAGTGTACAGGTGATTGCTTTTGGTTTCCAATCAGCCCAGAAAGGGTACCCTCAAACAAGGGCACAAATCCTGCCCAGCGTTTGGTTTGACATCCAAAGCGGCGATCTTCCCGCTCGAAGCGAATTTCGGCCACTATGGATTCCGGGAGGAAGTATCTAATCGATCTGAAGTTTGTCATGGCAAATGAAAGCCTTTCATTCTTGCATCTCCAGCCATCCTCTTGCACTTCAACACACTAGCACAATACCCACTCCTCTCCAATGGAGTCAATGTGCAACTCAAAAAAAACTGCCCAGCTATCCCTTCAATTGCTGGCAATCAAATTGTTCAGCTCAGCTGAAGAAAAAAAAAACACATGGCCGCAAAAGGCAAAAATCAAGTGGATATGGCTTGATTCATTCATCTCAACCCAGCAAACCATTCCAACCGTATCAATTCCAAAAATTCGCTTGGTTGGGTGCCATCAAAGCCCAATTCTGCAGCAAAAGACCCAAAGAAAAGAAAAGAAACCCACCAAAAAAGAAACCCAAGAAACCCACCAAAACCCTCTGTTGAAACCCCAAGAAACCCCCCCAAAACCTCCCATGGACTTGGCAACTCGCCGAGCTGCGGCCCTCAGGGTGCCAGCGGCCCTGGTTCCACCTGCCAAGCGGAACGCCAAGCCGCGGGGTCTTGAAAGTCCAACAAAATATGCACCTCTGTTTTTGTGTTATTTGGTTGTTTTTGTTTGGCTTTCTTGTTGTTGATGGTTGTTGTTTTGTATGCTTGTTTGTCTTTTCTTTTCCTTTTTTTTTGGGGGGGGGGGGTTGTTGTGTTTTTTTTGGAGTGGTGTGAATTTGACATTGTTTACTTTTCCCTTCCTCCAAGAGGTTAGATTCAGGAAAAGGCACAGATAGTTGGATCAGATAGAAGTCCGATCCTTCATCCTTGTTCCAGATGGTGATGGTTTCCCCTTTGTTGTAGTTGTCGTCTCACCAGAGATCAGCATTACAGTGGCGTAAAAGTAGATGCCACAACTCCCTTCTGGTTTGGTCAGCCCCCTTTCCCTACAAGGGAATTGTGCCATCTACTTACTCCCCACTCCCCGGTGTAGAGATAGGATTCGTAACCCTTCCTCTTCGGGGCCCATGCAAGTGTTTGCCGTTTGCAGGTCCCACAGGTTGCTTGGTTCCTCTTTGGACATATGTTGGCTGCACTTTGCGATCACCGCGCCACTGTCAGGGCTTCTGACTTTCAAGACATCTCATTTTCCCCGGCGATTTGTGGTTGGAGTCTCTTCGATCGGTTGCCCGCACTCGGATTGCTGGAACCGCCCCCTTGGATGCTGGGCGAAGCTCTTTGAGTGGGAACTGGACTTGAGCGCCTGCCCTTCTCTCGGATGCCGGGTTCCTGGGACTGATACAGATTCGATTTCATGATGCTATGGATGGCCAAACTCAGATCTTGCCTGGGCGACCGCCGACGTGTCAGCCCCAACTTGCCTTCTCACTTCCAATTTCCATCAGTTGGCCTATCCTCCAATCTGCATGCCTGAGAAACAGTCTTGGCAGCTGGTCAGTGTCCCAATCCACTCCCCTCGAATCCAACGTGCATCGCAGATTCTGTCGGCTGACCCACTTCCCGGCCTGCTCGCAAAGGTCTTGGCGACCAACAGCGGCACCACAAGCGTCGCTTCGGCATGCACCTCGCACCGTGCCACGCGCGGAGCGCGCCAACAGTCGGAGTGCAGCCCCTGCACTCTGAGCCTGTTGGCCCAAAAAGTGCATCGGATTGCACGTGCGCTGCCACTGAAATACGCTTCTCTTCACGCCGCTTTCTTTTTTGCCGGTCGCGCCATAAGCCTTCTTCCAACTCCGGAGGTCAGCTCTGGGGTGCACAGCTTGCAAAACAACCCCGGGCCTTCGGATGTGACCCTTAGCCTCGGGAAATGATGTGACCTCGGCAGTGAAGTAAAGGAAAAGGATGGAGGGACACAATGAAGGCAGCTGATGGATAGCAGGGGTTGGAAGTCATGGGATAAAAAAACATGAAACAACTGCACCTGTACAGGAGAGAAATAAATGCCATCAATGACTAAGTTAGGGATGGATTAACTAAATAGGACGAGCAAGCCTGCAACAACCTTCTGGGTGGATAAATGTAACTTCTGAGCTCAATCAGCTTCACAACTTAGATGGACAAGTGACAAGTTCTCAAACCAAGGTAAAGATCGTACCCCTCAGCACAGAAGAAGAAGTCCTAGCGAGACGCAACTTCGAGAACAAACCGAAGAAACTGTCCAATGAAGAAGAAAAAAAGAAGATCAAAACAAAATGTTCCCCTTCCAACAAAATCATGAAAGCTTTGGAAGACGAAAAAGCCAAAAAGCCTTTTGGGGAGGCCTCCCTCCTCGCTCCACGACCCGCTCGGTTCCCGCCGCTCGCTCCCGGCGCGATTTCCGCTCCGCGCGTCAGCCTTGCCTTCACCGGCTTCGCGTCCACCCGGATCTTGCCCCAGCTGACGGCTTCGTCGGGCCGGGCGCCGCTGTCCGAGCCGTCGAACTCCTGGCGGGTTTCGCCGTGGTTGGAAACCAGTGGCTTCGGACCGTTTTTCTCAGTTTCAACCCAAACTGGGGGCTCCAAAATGAGGTTAAGTCAGATTCTAGGGTAGGCTAGGTAAGAAACAGACAACTCTAGAGGTTGATTTCGTTTCCATTCTTCTCAACCTTTGTTCTTTTCAAACACCGATCGCTGTTTCCCCGTTCTGATGGTGTTCTGGAAAGAAGGATCCCTGGAAAGAATGGGGAAGTGTCCCGAAGGACAAAAGCTGAAAGGTGCCTAAAACAAAACTCGCCATGCTCGCCAGCAAAAACTGCCTGTGGCTTAAAAGAAACAGTACTGCTGGGGATTGGGACTCCAAAAAACATGACGCACCCACATTTCAGGCTTGGAGGAAGTCAAACGAAACGCGTGGCGACGCAGGCCGGACCCCTGCTCCCAACAGTTTGGTCCATGCGGGGCCGCTCAATTCAACCCTCAAAGTCCTGGGCGGTACTCACGTACACAACGAAGTCTGCACCGTTGCCTGAGCCCACCGCGACTAAAACGAGAGATTGGCTTCACTAGACGGGTTTATGTTAGATGAAAATGGTCTTCCAGGTTACCCAGTCAGGTTCTATATTGGTGTATGGGAGGGTTATCACCCAACACAGCGTCTGTAGTGTTCGGCTCCATGAGCAGGTCAAGTAGGCTTTCATCCATCCATCCATCCATCCATCCATCCATCCATCCATCCATCCATCCATCCATCCATCCATCCATCCATCCATCCATCCATCCATCCATCCATCCATCCATCCATCCATCCATCCATCCATCCATCCATCCATCCATCCATCCATCCATCCATCCATCCATCCATCCATCCATCCATCCATCCATCCATCCATCCATCCATCCATCCATCCATCCATCCATCCATCCATCCATCCATCCATCCATCCATCCATCCATCCATCCATCCATCCATCCATCCATCCATGCTCTTGGAACGTTCAATCAAGCCGCCCCCCGTCTAACTCTATCCAGCAAGCGCATGAGGTTCGCATTCATGCAGTGGTGCTTCACCAATCCGCCGCCTGAGGGGCTGAGGCGCTGAGGCGCTGAGGCAAGGGCTCGGCCGCCAAAGGGGCAACAAAAGCAACTATCCTCTGGTTGTCATAGGGCCCCCCCAATATGGGCCCCCAAATCCCAATGAGGCGGCTAATAGCGATGAATAGGGTCTATTATGGTGACTCGTGGTGAGCTTAACCTGTCTGGGCTTCCAGCGTCTTGTTCTTGCAAGTCTCTTTAGGCATTAAGATTCCACCAGGTGACTGCTGTCTCAAGTTTCACTGAGATGGACTGCGGTATCTGCACAAAATCAAGAAAAAGACCTCGCAAGCACGCCATCTTGAACGCTAGACGCCCAAATGAAAGGACTGGAAGGGATCGTGAAACCCTTCCAATTCGCTTGCATCGTGTGGTAAGTGTTGCGATGCGCAACTCGGCGCATTGGAAGCCGGGCAAGGACAAGTGGAAGATCTTTTCCAGGTTGCCTACTTGAAAGAGCGAGCTTCAAACAGAATGACTCTGCACAGCCTGCAACTTGACACAAGCCCGTAGATACCAACGAAAACCACTGGAATCTGGGCAGGAAGAACCAAGTCTTCCTGGGCTGGTGGGCATGATATCAAGAATCAAGCAACCTGAACGAAACAGTCCCTTTTCACAGCCATGTCCCATTCACCCTGCTCTGAGACCCCCCTCGGAGACCATGATGAAACAGGCCAAGCCAACTGCGAACAGATCGAGGCAAAATCAAAACATCCACTGAGACGTTGCTATGAAAGCAACGGCCGTTTTCCCTCTGCGCAAACAAGCACCTCGATTTCCCCCCTGAAACTTGACTCGGCTTTTCTCCCCTACCCCCGGGACCCGATGAGCGCATCTCCCGACGAGCAAAACCCGAGGAGCCAAACCCGCCTAGCACCAGGACGCCGGTCTTCCGAGCCTTCATAGCTTGGTCGTTGACACCCCTGATGTCTTGCACCAAGTCCAGCACCAAGCCTGAGAACTGCGGCTGGGAACTCCATGCAAAAAACATATATGAACAGTGGGTGGGTGTTACTCTAAGGGGACTACTGAGAATGAGGCTTGGGGTCCAGAAGTTCGGGAAATCCGAGGATGGTTTGCACGCTCCCACTGTCCAGGGCGAGCGAGTGGGTTTGCCGATCACCCTAGCAACGTTGAACGGAGTTTGAGTGGGCCCTTCTCGTACATGCAGTCTATGTATACCCTTTAGTCAACCACTGGTCAGGGTTCCCTATATTTCCCAATTGGGTTGGGCCAAAAACATCACCTTTAATGAAAGGGCTTCTAGGCTTCCCTTACAGGTGGTGTGTTAAGTGGAAATAGAGCAGCATCCTCAACATTGCGAGGAAGATTGCTCTGAGAACCTGCCAATAATTCACTGTCTTTGACCGGGGCCTATCCAATGAACAGCATGGTTTGGAATCACACTGAGGCCCATCCTTCAAAGGAGCGGCTTTCCCTTTGTCCTGTCTGAAACCAGTACGGGGTTGTGCTTTGGGGCCGCAAGACTCGCCTCAATGCGCGCATGCTCCTGCAGCGGTCAGGTGGAGCAATGCAGGCGGCCCTGTCTGACTGGCCCTGAAGCGGGGCCCGTGCACACTGGATGCTTCTGCAGGCATTGCAGTTACAGTGGGCTCTGATGGAACATGCGTCACATTCCCTATGATATGAGGCCCTCCCTTGCCGTCCCTTCTGCGCATGTTTGTTTCTGTGTCTGTGTGCTGACGCGCTTGTGAACATGACAATATGTCTGTTGCATGGGAGTCGTCCATGAGCACACGCATGCTTCACAACCCAAACAACCTTACAGACCGCAAGAAGATGAAACCCTCATGTAAGGTCCTTGGACAAATTATGGTGACTTGTTCAGGAAACGTTTCCCCAAACAGTGCCTCAGTTGTGGCATGATGAGTGCGATTCCTCTTGCCACCAGGAAGCCGCTCCTCTTGTAGCTGTGAAAGTAGAGCATGTCGCCGATGGATCCATCGGTGATGGCAGGACAAAAGATCGGGACGTTGTTGCCTCAGACGTAGCGGCAAGACGTCTTGCCTGAGCACATCGCAAGCCTTGCAGACTGAGATACTGACCCGAAGGCCCAAACTGAGCTGGGACCATCAAACAAGCCGAGGAGTATATTAACATTCTAATAACATACACATAGTTCGTTCACAAGTGCTAAAATAGACTCCTAAGCAAACATCATAACAATTCCCCCACCTGGCGTCGCAGCACGGAATGCAGCGAGGCACGATATGCCCAGTAGCACACCGATTCAGGGTTGTCAATCTCCTCACAGTGTGCAAAATAAGCCACGCGACCAATCTGACTTCAAGCCAAGACTGAGCATATAAGAGTCAAACAACCATGTCCGTACCGTGATGGCAATTCTGCAAATTATTTCTCGCATGAAGGTAGCACGCTGGACGGCAAGGAAGCCAATGCAGTCCTTACCGAATCGATGGATCATCTTTGACGGCGTCCACACGATCCCATCCTTCTCCTCACGTCGTGACCCCATGCCACCCGCCAAGTCACACGCGAGAAGATTAACTTGAAACGGACCAAAGGGTGAGGTCTGAAGGCGACCAAAACAAGCTGACGTTCCCACTGTATTCATACAAAGGGATCGCGCTGGCCAGGCGTGCTGCACCTGAGACATTTGAAGCTGGGCTTTGGTGAGCGGCATGACCACGAGAAACCGAGAGAGAGCCGGACGATCGGCATGCGGTCATCATCATGAGCCTCGGGAGAGCCTCTCCGGCCGATCCTGTTCGTCGTGCATGGCATTGAGGATCGGCACGATCCAGTCCTGGAGAAGCTCCAGCACCAGTTGGGGCGCAAAAGCTTTGACAGGAAATTTATGGAACAAACCTTTCCCATGGCACAAATGCCCACTTTCTTCATCTGCTTTCAACCACTCACCTCGAAGAGGCAGTAGTTGTCATTGGGCGCCAGAAGGTTGCCTGGCCCAGGCTTGGCCGATCGCATCCCAGAAAGCTTGCCAATGCCCTGACCCAAACCATCCAACAGTATGATGCTGGGCGAGGTATGAAGCCGACGCCACGGCGGAGCCATGTCCGCTCCGCAATGTGGCCGCGTCTGTCTTACAAAGACATCGGAACAGCTTTCTCCTTTTGTGCTCATTCGCACTGGACAACGCAGCCTTGTGATCGGCAAACCAAACCCGGCCACCAATGACCAGCCCAAGATATTCGCTTTGCAATGCTCGATGTCACCTCCCCTCCCACCAAATGTGCTGGAATCATTCCCCCCACGCCTCTTGCCTCTCTGCTGTCTCTCTGATGACACCACCCAGAGCTCTACTTTTTGACTACCCCACGATGAACTCAAACCCAGAAGTTTCGTTGTGCTTGATGAACCTTGGCCACCGCCACATCAGCACCGCCCCAATAAGCCGCAAATGGTTCTCCTTTTTGGGGGGAATGAACCCACCCCTGGGCTCAAGTCCACCCTGAAACGACCGGAAGCGCCGGCCTATGCGGTTCAGGCCCTTCCGGCGCAGCTGCAGGCCCTCCATGGCGAACTCTCCCAGGTGGGTGGGCGCTAGGCACTTGATGATGTCCTGAGGCGATAGATGTGTTTTTTCTTCATTTGGGTATGACTTTTTTATTGGAGACCTTTTAGTGGACATCATTTTGGCTGGGATTCGTATCCACCAATCACTTTTAAGGTGCTTCCCATTTGGATGTGGCTCAAAATTAAACAGCTGGAGTTACGCAGGTGTTGGTCCATGCTTCTACTGGATTCCAATTTTGGGTACCGGTTGTTGAGCCACAGCTATTTGGGTCTGCCTCTTTGTTGAGGCTCGGTGCTTCTTTTGCACCTGCGTTAAAGAGAAACCGAAGGGGAAACTACCATTTTGGGGGCCCGCAATATCAAGACACACCCATGTGGAAGCTGGGAATTGGTGCCGTAACATGGCAACGGTTTGATTTGGGTTTCCCGGCAAATGCCAGTCCACCATCTTGAGAAACACTCATTTCGCGACGAATTCAACAGGTTGAAACAAAGTCGCAAACATGGTTAGTGCAACACAAATCCCCCGTGTACATCATGCCCACCAGCACAGGTCCCATTTTATGGAAATTGCCACACGGGCTTGCGGCTGGCGGTGCGCCCCAGAAATATGAGTCGAGCGGAAAGGTCACTGGTGGCTTCTTGGGCTCTAACTTGTCTGTTGCTCATGTCAGGCTTGTCCACATTCGAACTGCACCAGCTACATGCTTTTGATGACATGGTGTGTGGCAACCCTTCCTTCGCCAGTTCTAGCCTTCTGCTTCCTTCTTCTGATTATCCTGCTGATGCTCCTCTCCCTCCTCCCTCATCTTATTATTCTTCCTTTTCGTCTTCTTCTTCTTCTTCTTCTTCTTCTTCTTCTTCTTCTTCTTCTTCTTCTTCTTCTTCTTCTTCTTCTCATCATCATCATCATCATCATCATCATCATCATCATCATCATCATCATCATCATCATCATCATCATCATCATCATCATCATCATCATCATCATCATCATCATCATCATCATCATCATCATCATCATCATCATCATCATCATCATCATCATCATCATCATCATCATCATCATCATCATCATCATCATCATCATCATCATCATCATTATTATTATTATTATTATTATTATTATTATTATTATTATTATTATTATTATTATTATTATTCTCGTGTTATTCTTCCATCACACACACACAGAAGTGCGTGGCGCCTAGACTCCAGCACCTCTAACAGCACCCCCCGAAGAGCAGCACCCCCCAAAAAAAGACGTCCAGCAATCTTGCAAAATTGCGCCCGCACCATCCCAAAACAACACCCACACCAGCACCCCAAACTGCCCCGCGCCTCCCCGAAAGCAGCACTTGCACCAGCACCCAAACTGCATGCCCCCCAGCACCACCGTCACCCCAAAGCAGCACCCCAAACCAGCACCCCAAACAGCATCCCAAAACAGCACCTGCACTAGCACCCTAGCACCCTACCGTCCGTCCTGCAAAAAGCGCCTGCACCGTCACCTGTCAATCTCGCAAAAATGCGCCTGCAGCACCAGAACCAGCACCCTAAACTGCGTGCCCTAGCTGCGCCCGCACCCCCCCTACACCAGCACCCCAGACCGCGCCTCTGTATTAGAATGTAGAAAATGTATAGCTTTCAGCTATCCGGGGAAGAAAAAAAACGAAGATCCGTGGGAGATGTTATGGGTGTGCGCTGTCCCTTTTCGTGTCCCTTCAAACAAGCCCAAGGGAGACCCAAAAAACACACACACCAATATGACGAGCAATTCCCCGCCATGCTCAAACAATCAGAAATCAGGTTCTGCTGAGGCAACGGGGTCCCGACTTCACTTGACAAGAGGGGCCCAAGGAAGCTTTCCTCTCTTCTCCGCGGGTCCCTTTCCTCCCCTTCCAATTTTGTGGCGCAGAGAGGGTCCTCCTCGATCCCGCCCGCGGTTGAGATCATGACCTGAATCAAGGGTTCAGAAAGCAAAGGGAGAGCTATTCTCAGCATTGTTTGCACAGTTAGATGGCAGGCGAGGGTGGCAGGATTGCCAATTGAAAGGTTTGCGGTTGAATGCTTGTTTTGGGTGATTATGGTGTAGGATCAAACATCAGAAAGAAACCGTGTTTCACTTCTCACAACAACCCTGAAAATGTGGCAAGACTGGTTCGAGGAAGAAACCACAACGACAGCCATGCCCACACGGAAGTCCGCATGTGTGAACACAAATCGCTCAAGAATGGGGGGGTTCTCCATACAGTGGAGGTTACAACGGTCGAGATTCTTTCCGCGTCCCTTCAAGTACAATATATGGTCTTCCGTCAAAATGGGTTTCCCTTCCCTTCCCCGGTTTTCCCTTCCCCGGATTCCCTCCTGGTTTTCCCTTCTCTGGTTTCCCTTCTTCCCCTCTGGTTTCTCGTCAAAATGAGTTTTCAACCACGAATCCCATTTTCCCGAGTCCCGCCTGAACCATCTGGTGCTGCACCAGGAATCGGATGGATTCCCGCAGGCCGGAACTGGCAACATGACGCGATCAAGCAACCGGGTGGCACGTCCTTTTGCTGGGGGTTCCCCGTTTTGGGGGCTGGGTTTTCCTTTTGGGGGGCTGGTATAAAGGGAAGCCGAAAGTTGAAAGGCACCCTTCTGTGTTCTTCTTAAACAAGCATTGATTGTTCAAACACTGCCATGATACGCAATGCAATGCCTGACAATGGTAGGCAATCACGATTTAAAGCAATGACAATCCGTGGTAAACAAGTCATGCGGATAAACCAGCGTTGAATTCACTTAGAAAATCCAGGCCTGATGTTCTTGCCCTCATACTGCGACTTGCGTTGCCAGGCAGGGAGACCCCCCCCCGCCGCCAATCCTCTTACCCTCTTCCTTTCCTCTCCCCTCCGTTGCTCTCTCCTCTCAACGCCCTGCTCCCTTTGCTCGGTCGAAAACTCCACCGCCTGATGAGGTTGGAGGTGTAGGAGAGCCAAATCTTGGTCCTCACCTTCCTCCGGGCCTCCGGATCCTTGAACTCCTCCACCTTGTTGGGGCCATAAACGGCGAAATCTGCTCTCACCCCCAACCACCACCAGCCCAACCAAGAAAAAGAAGCCGATACCTCTCCGAAAAAAAGAAAGGAAATCCGCCGACCCTCTGCCTCCCGTCCCAGCCTCCTGCAGAGGGGACCGGCGTGGGATGCAACTGGAAGTGATTGGAACCAATGATAGTCCCTGTGGGACCGCTTCGGATTACTTGCAGTCAGCCAAAACCGGTCCTGGGACTGGTCCTGGGACTGGTCCCGGCCAGGACCGCTTTCAGGACGGGTCCAAGCCGGTCCCGAGCCCTGGTGTGACCGCTAGTGTCGGATCCCACTTCAAACCAGACACCTGTTTCCTCCAGCGTCGCTGTTTCCGGACTGGCACCCGTGTTTCAGGACCGGACAGGGTCCCAAGTCCCAGTCCCTCCCTGCGACCGGTTGAGGGGCACCGACGGCCTTGTTTCTAGGACCAGCTCAACGTGACTTGGGCGCGAGCCGGCGCGTGCTGTCATTGACGGACGAGCTGCCGTCTGTCTGACTTTTCCGCTAATCCTTGTGGTAGTAGAGGATCCCTGGATCTAATCTGCAAGAGAGTCCAATACGTCGAGTCAAACCGCGCCACTCAGACCAGCCTGGACAGGGCGGTCCCTGCCGGCGACCGGTCCAGGGCCACTAGGGCCACTGTCGCCGGGGCAGTTTCGGGAGGGCCAGTTTCAGGGCGACCCGGGACAGGCGACTGCTCCCGGGCCAACTCGAAGTGACTTGGGCGCAAGCCGGCCCAAGCGGCAATTAACGGACTAGCTGCCATATTTCTGACTTTTCCGTTAATCCTTGTTTGTGGTCGTAGAAAATCTTATAAGTTATAAGTGGTCCCTGGGTTTGCGGACGTGTTTCAGGACCGGTCCTTGTGACTTCTCCCTTAATGCGCCGAGGGTCGGCGGCAGCAGGCGGGAGCCTGGTTAATAATAATAAGGCAAATTGTTTGAAAAAACAGTGAATTTGATAGACAGGGGACCACTGTTTGTCCAAGCAAAGTGATGTACACTTTGGATTGCTCCCGCAAACAGTATTAATCAAAGAGGGGAAGCAGCCCTGAGTAATACGGTCCTCCGGAATAATCCGCAAATCACAAGTTCACAATAAAATGTCGTGAAGGTTTTCATGCGAGCTGGGTCGTTGCTACATGAACCCCGTTCAAACATATGTCTTAGGTGCGGGGGTCAGAAAATGCGGGGTCGCCCATCGCTTTTTTCTTTCATCACAATCTTGAAGCCCCCAAAAACTCTTCCAGGCGAAAAACGTCGACCGGAAAACAAAAAAGAGTCGGATCCTTCATGGACATGCCGCACCTCCACAATTCAAGCCACCCAGGTTCGCAAGAAGTTCGGGTGTGTCTCAAATGTTGGGCAGCGGCATCCTTTCGGCATCCATTCGGCTTCCTTGCCGCTTCATTTCGGCTTCCTTTCGGCTTCCGAACTTCCTTTCGGCTTTTTCGTGACTTCCTTTCGGCTTTTTTATGTGAAAACCAACAAAAGGGGAACCCTCCAAACAGATCTGACCGACCCCCCCAGCCCCCCCAGGTGCCTCATCCTCCGGCACCGGGTCGTCCGCCAAGCTCCAGTCCAGCATGCGGTCAATCTCCTGGATGGCCTGATCTCCAGGCCCAGTTGCGTCAACCGAAAACCGGTTGAGCCAAACCAAACAAAAGACAAAACTGGAAGAAACGGCAAGCGGACAATCCAACGCTAGGTTCACGGGCCTAGGACCCTGGTCTCACATGAGTGTCACTTGCCATGCAGCAAAAGCCACCAAACTCGAGCCATAATCACAGTGCCACAGGATGTGGTGCAGCTTGATTGTCGAGTGCAATGCGCTTGTCGTGAGCCTGCCACATCTTGCGAGTCACGCACCCCTGTTGTGAGTCGCTGCGCCATGTCGTGTGGGGGCAAGATGGTCGCAGGGTACGTCTTTATGAGTGAGCGTGTGCATGACCCCGCCTAGCTGTCGTGAGGGCAACCCTTCTCAAATGGTGTGCATGCGACCATTTGCAAATGTGCTTGCAAAAGTTGTGCGCTGTGTCCTCGGCTTTGTCGGCCTTTGTCAGTGTCTGTGTTTGCTTGTTTGTTTGTTTGCCTGTTTGTCTGGTTGGTTTGCTTACTTGCTTGCTTGCTTTGTCTGTGTGTACGTTGTTTCTATTTCTTCCAGTTACCGCCTTGTTCCTAGCCTGCTTGCTCGCTTTGTCGTTTGGTGCTTTGTCAGCTGCGCAGGTGCTTGTCGGTGTGTGCTCGCATTTGTGCAAATGGCCACAGCGCAATGTCCATCCCATCGGACCCGCTTGCCTTGCCCAAGTTGGTGGCCTGGAAGCCTGCCAGGCTCCGAAGCGTTTGATTCAGGACCAGGCCAAGCAAAAACAAAAACATCGCGAGACTTTAACTAAGCACCCAAGATCTAGCAATCAATCTGCTTGCACCCAGCAAAATTCAAGCCACCGCGGCTGATATCCGGTCAACACCATGGCAAAGGGTGGTTTTGGGTGCTGCCCACATCTTTCTCAGAAACCAGAAAGGGAGCACACCTTTTCGACGGCAACACCATGGCAAAGGGTGGTTTTGGGTGCTGCCCACATCTTTCTGAGACACCAGAGGGGGAGCACACCTTTTCGACGGCCCTCATCAGACATGTACTAGCTGGTTTTGAGTTGGCAGTGGGTCAAACAACGGAATCCCCAAAATGGCTTGCCCTGGTAAATGGACACCTGCGGTTTTCTGGTGGTTTAATTGTGACAAACACCCAGGAGCAAACCATGACGCACACCTCCGGCATGCTGTCCCGTCTGGAAAGGCAGGAAATAACGAAATGTGTACTCCCGCCTGTGCGCAAGTATGACTCCACCAATGCATCGTAGTCGAGTCCTCACACGCATGCTCCCGCAAGACAGAAGCAACCTTCCAGGAAAAATGGCTTGCGTGTGTGTGTGTGTGTGTGTGGGTGCGTCTGATTGTGCGTTTTTGCCATAGGTATTTGTGTGCTAGTTGCCTCTGTTTGTTAATTGTGTATGGTGTGTTTGTGTGTTTGCTTTGTGTCTGTGCATGGGTTTGTGAGACTGCGGTTTGCAAGGTTACAAGTGTTTTGAAATGGGCTTGTATTAGCCTGAATGTGTTCTCCATTGGTGTTTCTACTTGTGACACACTTGCTTTCTGATTGCTTGCTTGCTTGCCGCCTCCTTGCATGCGGGCGTGCAGGTCTATGTGCTGCTTCTTTGCAAATTTGTGCGTGTCGGCTTTGAAACCGTAGATTTCTTACACTCTAAAGTGGAGTGTGCGTCTGTGTCTATGGATGCATCTATGGATGTGTGCGGTGTGGTCGCGGTGGCGGTGATGGTGCTGTTGTTGCTGCTGCTCTGTTGCTGCTGCTGTATTGGCATGCTTTCTATTTGGCTGTGGGTCAAAACCAATGGTGCGTGCAGGCTGTTGGACTTGCTTGTCTATGTGCTGCTTCTTTGCAAATGTGTGCTTGTCGGTTTGTTTATTGATTTGTGTTTGGCTTTGCTGGCGTAGCTTGCTTACACTCTAATGTGGAGTGTGTGTGTGTGTGTACGGATGCATCTATGGATGTGTGCGGTGTGGTCGCGCTGGCCGTCATTGTGGTGCTGTTTTTGTTGCCGCTGCTCTGTTGCTGCTGCTGCATTGATCTGCTTTCTATTTGCGTGTGAGCGCTTCCCTTTTATAGACATGGCCGTGGGTCAACACCAATGGTACCATTTTGGGGTAGGTGCACCCCCATTTGAGCGGGGATTGGGATGTTCACTGGGGGTACGATTTGATTTTTTGGACCCATGTCCACCAGAGCGCAAAAGACTCACGGCCAGCCGCTTCCTTGGTTGAAGTCGTAGCCTTTCACCTCTGGCGAGGTGAGCTTCTCGCTGCCCGCCAGGACATACTCCTGACTGAAAGCATGAGCCACGCATCGCACAAAAAAACGGGAGGACCCGTGTGGTGCGGCGTTTTCCAAGGGCTTAGGCAAAATGATCCACGTCGACTGCAGACACCCGGACACCTGGGTCGTCTTTTTCAGGTACTCGGCATCGGCCTCCTGCAGGGAGTCACTCTTACATGCATCGGTGCAGCATGACAGCGCCTGTGAATAGCCAGAGGTCATGGCAGAAACGGAGGAGGGGAAGGAAACGGAAACGGTCCGAAGTATCGCGTGCAAGGTGTCAGGCTCTTTTAAGAATTTGCACAAACCACTCTGCACCTTTCATATGGCTCTAACTCGTTCTAAAGAACTGAAATGCTCTTTGAACCACTGGATGGGCATGAAATGCGAGTCCAGGCTCAACTGCCTCTCTTGATCTTGCGGTTCAAAATCTGCTGCAGTGAAAGGATGACAATGACTTCGCTTCGAGCGCATAGACCGTGCGGGGAAGCCGCCTATCCCAGATTTCCATTCAGAGGAAGATGGAATGCTTTCGTTGAAGTTGCCCTGCGTTCACATGTGAATCACTGCTCATGCATCGCAAGCCTTACAACCAGCAACGTCGTCAAGGCGCTTCTTTTTTAACCCGGACCGCTCAGAATCGGCCAATTTCAGGGCAGGGGTAGGCAAAGCCCTTCAATTCAACATTCCACAGCCCGCTCTCTCCGGTTGAACCTCTCACAACTGGCACCCAGTTGGTCAAACATGCCATGTTCAAACCTGATTGGCCGAGTTTGCCCTACCATTGCACCATGCAAAAGGTTGCAACGCGTCAACCTCACCGGCGATGGGTCGCCCACTGAATTGCTGATGCAAGGCATCACTTGCAGCTTGATCCGCTCCAATAATCAATCAATCTGTCCTTTCTGTTTGTGAAGTCTTTGCCTGTGCTGCGTTTTCATGATCGGACACCACAAAAACGGCCCCTCATGTGGGCAACTCCGGATGTCGAGCCCAGATCTTCAAGGCCGCAGCAAGCTGCAACAAGGAAGCCCCATCCTCTCCGATCTCAATTCTTGGCAGTCCCATTTGGGTATGGATCAAAGTTCAACCACCAGGAATTCACCCGCAGTTTCCCCATTTTTACAGGCGCAACCCATATGGGGGTTACCGTATGTTCGACAACCACAGCCATTCCTCCTTCAAAACTGGGCTGTCCTCAGATCCCCCGCTGAAAGTTTCACGCTTCGAGGGAAATCCAACCACTAAACCAACTAAAGGGATCCGACAAGCTAAGGGGATATCCCCACTAAACACTAAAAGGATCGAAAAGGCTAAGGAACCGGATGGCTGGGAGCCACCAAGAAAAGAAAGCCCCAAGATTCCCGTCGGCTTCAGCGAGAACTCGGCCGCGCCCAGGCGCGCCAGGCGTAGGACAAGCGCAGCAGGGCCTCCAGCCGCGCCTTGGCGCCGGCGTCCAGCTGGAAGCTCTTGGCGAAGTTCCGGGCCAACTTCCGCACGTCCTCCTGGACCAAACGGGCCACATGGCTATGGGCCAAAAATGCGTGCCTAAAATGAAACCATGAAACCCTGGCAAATGAAACCAAAGACTAAAACCTGCGGTTCTCTGGTTTGACCCATACCCACATGGCCGGGGGGGGAGGGAGAAATTGAATTCCGACCCCGAAAATCAGTATCAAATTGGAACAACCCCCACAAGCAGCAGCAGCAGCAGCAGCAGCAGCAGCAGCAGCAGCAGCAGCCCCTTAGTCGACTGAATAGAACCTTCACTTCAACCTTCCATCCCACCCCCTCGTCCGCTTCCTCAAAAAACCTCCTGATCTCCAAGCACCAGAAAACTCCCCCCCCTCCAAACCCCGCTTCCCCACAACTTCCAGTGCTCTCCAAGTACAGAAAACATGTCCGAGTCCCCCCCCTCAAACCCCCCAAATCCCCCAAACCCCCCATCTCCCCGCAACCTTCACGCCCCCCAAACAGTTCCCCCCCCCAAACCCCCCCCAACCCCCCAAACCCCCACTCCCCGCGCCTTCTCGTGCACCCCCACGCGGCCCACGCGCCCGCGCACCTTCACATCCACGAAGACCACCAGCGCCGGCTTCGGCGCCACCCGCGCGCGCGGCCCCGCGCAGGAGAAGGGCTCGGGGCCCAGGCGACGCAGCTTCTCGTACTTCTCCTAAGCCAAATGCCCCAAATGACCCCGACAAACCATCCCCTGTTTCCTTGAAGGAAATCTCCTGATTCCCTCATTCCCTGCTGAGCAGCAATTAAATAGGGGGTCTGGAAAAACTCACGTTGACCAATATGGGCATGGGTCAAAACCCAAATCGTACCCCCCAGTGAACATCCGATTCAAATCAACCACTGAAGTAGGTTCGAAAATGGGTAGTGAATTCACCTACCCCTAAATGGGATCCCATTGGTTTTGACCCAAGCCCCAAGTTGCAAGAGCTGCAACTTGGACAAAGAAGCGGAAGAAAAAGAAAAAAGGATAAAGTCAAGAAACAAAAGAAGAAGGAGAAGAAGAAAAAAAAGGGACAAACAAAAAGCGCAAGCGAACTTTGGTAAGCGGGCAAGCAACAGAAACAAATAAAGCCCAGTGCAAAGAAAGTGAAACGTTCAAAATTGCAGAAGATAAAAGGAGAAACAAAAACAAGTGAGAACAGAACGAAGAACGACTGGGGAGAGAAAAAGACGAGAAGAACTGGCAGAATAAGAGCAAGTCTAAGTGCATAACGAGAAGAAGATCGAGGATCAAGAACAAGAAGACCAAGCAGGAAAAATAGGCCGGCATGCCACAATAGGCGACTGCCTCGACAGTAAGAACTGCGACTCGAATAATATAAGCAACAACAATAATAATAACAACAACAACAACACCAACACCAACACCAACGCCAACGCCAACGCCAACGCCAACGCAACAACAACAACAACAACAACAACAACAACAACAACAACAACAACAACAACAACAACAACAACAACAACAACAACAACAACAACAACAACAACAACAACAACAACAAGAAAAAGCCACCTTAAAAAACACAAACAAACGAAAAACCGGAACCTCTGGCAAAGGCGCCCCTCGAAAACCAAGCCTTTGCACGTCAACCTCCTCACACACATGCAAGCAAGCAAGCAAACAAAATTTACAAAACAAACAACAAGCACAACACATGACACAACACAAAACGGCAGCGCCAAAACCCAGAACAGGACCCAAAAAAAAACACCTGCCAAAAAAACATAAGGCATAGGAACCCCACTCCCAATTCCGCCGGGGCGCCCCCACCGGGATCCGCTCCCTCTCCGCCTTCTGCCGCCTCTGGGCCTCGTGCGCCGCCTGGAGCCGCGCGACCGTCGACTCGAAGTTCCGGACCACCGCACCCGTCCGAGACGTGCGCGACGGGGGCCGGAACTTCGAGTGGCTCAGCTGGGGTCGGAAGGTGCACTCCTCCATCTCCTCGCGGTTTAGCTTCTTGACTGAACGGAAGCTCAGTCAAGTCCATTCCAAGCCACCCCTTTGGGGTGCCCGGGTCCTTTGAGATCCCAAATCAAGGGGAAAAGATGGGAGATGGGAGAGTCCTGAAGACAAGTTCTTTGGGTATTGTTCCAAAGCATCCAAACAGAAACGACGCGAGAGAGCTACGAACCGCGCAAGGAACCAGTTTCTTTGGGGCAAACAGCGTCGTCCGCGGCACATTGAAGAAACAAACCCGGGTAACTGAAAACAAAGAGGTTCCAACAGTGTTCTGGCAAGGACAGCAGCCACTAGCTTGAAGAGACAAGGTGCCTTAACATTCAAAACGTTCAGCATAAAACTGTCCATGAGGACCATGTGCAAAAACCAGCCCAACATGATCCCCGCCCCACCTTCAAGAGCTTCAGCTGCTTGATCTCGTCCTGTGGCAAAAAGGCCCCTCTTCCCCCAGAGGCCTCAGGCAACTGCTGTCAACCTCACTCACCCTGTATCCAAGCGATCCCATTGGCCCTTTTCCGACCGGTCCCGTTACATGCCTCAAGTCCCTTACCGGCCAACAACAGTGGCCAGAACGCCCTGACAAATCAAGAAACGAGCTCCGAGACCCTCTCCTCCAGCTGCGCGCCTTTGCGGGCCGCAAAGACCGCCTGGTGGTAGAGCAGGTGGCACCGCGCCACCCCGGGGCTCGGACTCCGCGGCGTCCCGTTCCGCGGCGTGGCTGCCCGGGAACGCGGCGTGGCCGCCCGCGGCGTCGTGGCCGCCGCGTTCCGCGGCGTGCCCGGGGGCGTGGCGCTCTCCGAACACAGCTCACGACGCCGCCACGACTCTGTGGTGGCGCGGCTGTGACGAGTGGCCAGCATCTGGCAGAACTCACGGCTGAGCTGCCACTCCAGTTGATTGAAACATTCCTCCTCCAGGCTGGACAAGGGTCTGGGTGGCGCCCGCTCGGTATCCGTGGCGTTGGCGATGAAGTGCAGGAGCCGGTCGAAGCAAATCATCCCCGTCTCCTCCCTGTCCAGCAGCACCCCGAGCTTGCCGCAGAACTGGACCTCCGCCTCGAAGCCCAAGTTCCGCAGCACCTCGTGCACGCCGGACCGGGGCAGCACCAGCACCCGCCTTTGGCTCATCTCCATCAGCCGATGTGTTCCACATCGCTCGAAGGCGCTGAGCAGTTCCCGCTCCAAGCGCGCGTGCCAGCAGGCCTTGGACCGCCGGCCCAAGCGCGGCACGGACTGCTGCCTCAGCGCCAGCAGCGCATCCCGCTCTCGCAGGTCCTGGACGTTGGAAGTCGGAAGTCGGAGACCCGCCCACAGCAACCATGGACTGTTGGTTCTATGATGGTTTCAAGGTTTATATGTTAGTGACCAAAGAGAAAGTTCATTCGTCAACCGTTTCACTTTCCATAAATATGCAACTAGTCGTTTTAGCGACTTTCGGTAAGTCACGCAGCCCTTGAATTTAAGCCACCGAACCTACCACACTCATTGGGGGGGAGAGAGCGCCCATAAGCAGCAAAAAAGCTGATTTGGGTTCCCTCCCCCTCCCCTCCCTCCCCACAGCCCCATGACACACTGACCGTCTGACCGAACCCCCGCCTGCCGCTGCCGCCGCTCCTCGGCTTCCCGGTACAGCACCTCATCCAAGCCGCCCAGCACCGTCGGCACCCCCACCGACACGCGGGGCGAGCGGACGCCTTCCATGGCCCATGGCACCGAGAAGAACGGAACCACGAGACCGGAACTGGTCCGAGGGAAGTTCGGGTGGCTTCAAATGAACTGCAAGGGAAGCGTTGATTTTGGGGGTCCAAGAAATTAAGGAATTTTCGGGGAATGGCTTCAAGTGAACAGCGGAGGAAGCAGTGAAATGAAATTTGGGGACTGGAAGAGCCTCATTCATGGACTGCGAAAGTCAAGTCCCATTGGTTCAAACGCGCTCGGTCACTAGTCAAGAACAACTGAAACGCTGATGTAATGACGCAAGTTGCCATGTGAGGCTCGCATCGACACATGCTTTCATGAAGGCACTGAATGCCGTGGCCTGGACTTTGCCAGACTTGAGCAATTGCGATCCTTCCGTTGTCCGACAAATCAAAATGTGCGCGTGTCCCTTCTCAACATCCACAACAAACTCTTTGAAAGTTGGTTTGAAAGATAAAAGTGAGCGCTTTCTGTCAGCTGTGACTCGAAGCAATGCGACAGGTTACGCCTGCCAGGCTGAAAGGCCATATGGGTGCGCCGCTGGCTGACAGCAAATGACTCATAAAGTCATGTCGTGGCTGAAAGGAAGTCAACCTGCGAGCATCACGGAGCACGCGTGCTCGCAGCCGCCGGCGGTCTCGCAGTTCTCGCTGCAGGAACCGCCAGCTGACGGAGTGCACACCGTGCACATGTTGGCGGTGGGAAAACCGGAGACCGAAACCCAACACCCCGAGCTTGCCTTACAGGTGTCCACACAAGCCTGCAAAGTACTCGATTGGGAGGCGATCTCACAGCCGAGCTGACAGCTTGGTCGATCGCAACCGCTGTCACGGCCACAGCAAAAGCCGTCCTGCGCTGATAATCGTTCAAACATCTTCGAACTTATCCCCACAAACGAGCAACACGCTACATCGCTACATCGCTACATCGCTACATCGCTACATCATCTTTTGGCACCCGCTCCTGGCTGCATTGCGCCTTGCAAATGTCAACCGGAGCCAGTGTTGTTGACAAGGTTGTCGTAGGAGGGGCAGGCAAGTTCATGCTCCTGCAAGCATACTCGCATCCACCTTCAGGCTCACAGTTCTCAGCGCATGAGCCACCACCAGAAGCGGTGCATACGGTGCACATGTTGGTCTGCCCGAACGCGATGCTCCATGTAAAACATCCCGTCTTGGCTTTACACTCGTTGATGCAAGAGTAGAGAGTGTCAGAATAAAGAGCAATCTCGCAGCCCTGGCCGCAGCTGGGCCGCCCGCATCCACTGTCGCGGCCGCAACAGTACCCAGCCTCAACGCAGCCCTTTTGACACAAGTCATGGGGCGTGAGCTCCGAAGCACCGAGGACCAGCTCGTAGCTCTGCTCCGTCAGCTGGCCCGTCACCTCCCCGGTCTCACAGTCGTAGTCCAGGAGGCGCACGCGCCACATGAGAGTCTTGCTGCCATCTGCGTGGCGGTCCTCGTGCAAGCTGGTGCCGGCGGAACCGGGATAGCCGCGTCCGCGATCAGGGCCCGTCCAGCCCAGGGGCAGGGGCACTTCTGAGGCCTTGAAGCCCACCACGTCCTCCGTCGTGGTGAGGCGCGCGTAGAGGTAGGGGAGCTCAACATCGTGGAGCTTACTTCCATGCCACATCTTCTGTGGCGTGGCTCCAGGAGCCCCATAGTAGTAGAGATTTCCTCGCCAATTCCACTCATCAGCTAAGGTCTGATCCGCTTTGAATTTGGTCCACTGCTGCGGACCTGTGACCTTCAAATGGCCATTGCTCAACTGGACGACTTCAGCCAACCGCTGCTGCGGCGCACTTGGAATGAAGAGTTTGAAGGCCGGGTCCCCCATCAGAGCGATGTTCATCATCACATACTCGGCGGTCTTCTGAGCAGCATCCGTTGCCTGATCTATGTGGTTCAGCGCCACGTTGTTCCAACCTGCCACGAAGGCTTCGCCGATGCTCTTGCCCAGCGCAATGTCATTCCAAAAGGCGGCGTGCACTAAGCCGGAGGCCGTGATCGCATTGCGCGGCCCACCCAGAAATGCCACGGCTCCGTAATGCCTCACTGGTCATTTCCAACAGACGCTCAAGCAGAGTGAAAGGACAACAATTAGACCAGCAGAGACCCCGCAGTTGAGGACTGACGGGCAAGCACAAACATGCCAACAGCTTGCGGCTTTCTGCGCTTCAACACGGAATCAAAATGATGCAGTCATGAACCCGGCACGCGTTGCGTCGCTGCACGTGTGTTGCTGGCGCGCTTCGCGCTTCAGCGCCGCGTAGGAACTGAGGTTGGGCGAGCGCGTGCGATAGCGGGCGACCGCACGCGCGTGAACGCAAGCGTGGCTGCGCAAGCGCGCGGTCACATAGGCAGTTCAAACACACATGTCCAGTTCAGACACACATGTGTGTGTGTGTGTACATGTGGAACACACATATGTATACGACTGAAACAGTACACGCGGCACGCGCAAATGCGCACCCGTGAACACACACGTATACACTCACCTGCGGCATACATGTGTTGAGCTGGAAAACCAACATGTGCTTCTTTTAAAGCACACACACACACATGTGTGCACCTGGAACACACAAACACGTGCAATTCAAGCACACATGTGTGTATATGCGGGACACACATATGTGTACCACTAGACCACAAATATGTGTCCAGGAACACCGCGTGTGTGATTAAAGCACACATGTGCGCACACGTGGAACACACATATGTGCACGCGTGAGCAAACATAAATGCTCACCTAAAGCGCACACAGACACATGCGCTCACCTCGAAACCAATCAAGCGTTTTCTGGAGAACAATTATGTCGTCAGGTGCAAAACAAAAAGTTCATCTAGCACATAGTATTGTGTTCACATGCAACACACATCTGTCCACCTGGAATACAAACACATGTGAAAGTGGAACACACATATGTGTACACGTGGAACACACACACAAGTGTTCATCTGAATACAAACGTGTTCACCTGGAACACACACACGTGCCTGATAAGAACACACATGTGTGTACACGTGAACAAATATATGATCATATATGTGTACACGTGGGAGACATACATGCGCACATGTGAACACAAACATGTGCACAACGGAACACACACATGTCGACTGCACACGTGAACATACACATTTATGCGCACGCAAGAACACAAACACACACGAACTTTCATCTAATAACAAACATGTCAAGAGACGGCAAGGTGACGTCCCGTGGGACGCTGTCCACCGAACCCTCCAGCTGTAAATACCAACCACGTAGAAAGGTGTATACGGTCAAACCGTTATAGCCGAACCCGTGTAACTGTTGTAAGGGAGAAGGAATAATAGTTACAACAGTGGTCCTGACAAATGCAGCGCAAGCGAAGTGTTTTCCGCTCTCAATTGCCGATCACGTATGAACGCAGCTTCACATAAGATCTTGAACCTCACTTGTGACTTGAGCCAAATGGCAATCAATGGAACCTTGTAAGCAACACAAACACGGACCTCAGAACTGCTTCCCAATTTAGGCACGAGGCCAGGAGGGTTTTAACATCCCCCATTTGGGTCGCATTGTTCATCATGCGGTCCAAACGTTCCAATGGCCACGGCTTCAGCTACGAAATTGTGTCGAGCACTCTTTCACTCGCTATCGCTACACCGTTCATTCATTGTGAAACCTGCCGGGTTCGATTGAAACTGGAACGTGCATCCTCAAATCGTAGCACATTCCCATAGACAGATGCAAGGTATGCACTACCTCACGTCATCACGCAACCATTGAACATCCCAGCTGCCGCATTTGCGCATCGCGCAGCCGTCATCCACAGAAATGGGTTGGCCATAGAAGTTCACAGCAGCGCATGATCGTAAGTAATCTGCATATCACCGGCAAAGAAATATCGGTGAGCAATCAATGCAAAACATAGCCATTCCAGGTACCATGAATAATATATATATATATATAATGAAAAGGAAATCATCCATGAGGTAATAGTTCCATCCATGAATATCCGGAATGTCATAGCCGTCGGAATATGTGAATGTATACACATCCATTCATCTTGGACGCATGAAATCATATCATGATGTAGAGTCGTTCCATCGCAATGACATTGATGAGACGCAAGCAATAGATGGGGACTAGCCCACATCGTGCCGCAATCAACATCGGAGTGAATATATGTATTGCTGTTGGTGGGCGCACCGCACCGCATAAGCAATAATAATCCACATCTGCATTACGCATACCTGTCCCCAATGGACAGTCTGTGGGTACGTCGACGGAACTCTTCGTCCAAATTCTTTTGGGCTTCTCGCGCCCGGACACACTTCTTGTGATGATCTTCTGGTATCCAATGCCCCATTCGGAGGCACCAATCCAGCAGAGGTGTGTCGCATTTGTTCGGGTCAGTGGCTGCAATAATGGCGCTCACATTGACCGAATAACCATGTCTGCCAAGGTTCAAGCCTTCCCTTACGAACGATATATATTTACAGTTGAAAGCCAGGGAGAAGCATCTGTAAACGATATCACCCACCGGGTGCACGCGATCCTTGACCAGGAGCTTCATTTCGTCTTTGGTGATGTCGAGGATTTTCGCTGCAATCCACAGCTTGTAAAATATGTATAGCCCCTCGCATTTGTATACCATTAGACGAATGTATTCATTACGCTCCTCAGCCGACCGGAAGGTCCTTGTCCGAACGTTCTGAGATTGGCTAATCTTCACTATTGTTGACGGCAACAGGATCCCTTCCTGATCGTGCTCAGTCATGTTGGGGTACTTCTTGAAGTCGTTGTGGTATGGGCAGCCTAGCTTCCCTTCGAGCGCGGCATCGATCGTTCTCTTTTCACCACCTTCGAACATCCCCCACATCTTTGACATCTGCAGCGCGATGAATTCCGCCATGTATTGAGCTTCGCGCGGCTCATCAAGGCAAATCGCCATCCGCTGGGAATTAATGATATCCCGCGATGCCAAGTCATTGTCGCGGTATTGCCAACCGCCATCTTCTTCCTCAGACATGTAGCCGGACGTGTATCCTTGCGTGTCCATGTCGTCGTCTTCAGGAACGTTCTCCGCCTCATCATCCTCTTCCTGTGCTGCCGCACCATGGTTGGCTTCGTCTTGCGCGCGCCTGGCATCACCCGAAACATTGGGCCTTTTGTTGTCCCCATCGTCGTCGGAACTGATGTGGATGCAAAATCTCCCGGTAGAGATCAATTGCGCCCCACATTCCAGGCACACACAGAAGCATGTGGGAATCGCGGTCGCACATGACGGACATATCCGGCATCGTAGCCCTTCCCATGTCACGTCATTCAGGATGACGACTTTGCTGATCTCGTCTCTGATCTCGTTGGTCTGCGCATCAAACTCCTCCAGCTTGTTTTCCCGAAACAGTTTGCACGCACGATCAACCATGTCTTTGATGTAGTGCAGATTGTCGGCACCTGCCTCGGTCTCAGGCATCCTCTCGTTGATCTTCGCGACGTTCTGTAGGAACATCGCAGCCGATTCCTGGGAGGAATCGACGAAACCCGGACAGATCTCTTTTTCCACACATTTTGAGTACGCTCGCTTGACGTCCTCGTACTCCAGGCATCTCCCTCCGTTGCTTTTGCCAATCCAAATGGACTTGACCTCATAGAACGGGATCACGTCAAAGACCATGAATGTCCCATTTGCCGCGACTCCAGCTCCATACCGCGCGAGGGTTGCACTGGGAATGTAGATGATCGCAATCGGGTCCCCCGACCTTACGTTTCGTAGCGTCACCTTCGTTGCTACGTTCATCTCATCCCATGGAGCAAATGCTCCGAAGTGCAACGCTAGCCTGTTCCCGCCATCGATCCCGCCGGGGACTAGCCCACAGCGTACGATGCTCGTCAGGTTCTCCACATACGTCACATGGAATGCTCCTCCGCGAGAATCACCCATTCTTGCAGAATACCTATTTGCCAGTGCGGATGAGCTCATGAATCCAAAATCACTGTGACCAGTTGTGACTCGGATGCACCAAGGCCTGTACCATCCATCGCATCTGTTGAACATCCTGTCGATGTCATCCCGATCCAGGCCAGCATAGTTCAACTCCTCCCTGGCCGCCTTCATGTCATTCGAGTTCATGACGCTTGGAAACCTTGCTGCCAGGACCTGAAACCTCGATTTCTTGTGTCCGGATTCCTGCCACTTGATCACTTCCATGATGCCCATGTATCGTTTTGCTCTCGAAGTACACGTGGGAATATGTCGTTATTCCGGTCGTCAATGACTGCGTCGATGTCGACCCATCCACCTTCATCGCATCTGAAAACACTTCCTCGGCAATTGCCGATTTTGTGTCGAAGGACTCTGCACAGGTTGTGAGATAGCTGGTTTGCTTGATCTCTCGTAGCAAATACCGAGCGATCGTCGCCAATCTTGCATAGTGGAGCACCGTCAAAGGGAGCAACGCAGAAATTGACGCTCTTGCCAAGCTGCATCACATCCACCTGTTCAAGGATGGCACCCTTGGGAAAGTACTTGGGGTCAACAATAGATGCGTACGCCCATGGCATATGCACATCGCTCACGTCGCCGAACTTCGGGATGTAACATGGGATGGTGTCACACCCTCGCTCTAGCGTCGTCTTGAACGTTCTGTTGTCCCCGCACGGATTGTAGGTGAGGTCCACGCCACCGCATTGTAGCTCTCCTCCCTCAGCCGTGTCAGCCATCTCCACCAGATTGATGGTATAGCTATACATTTCTATTGTCTCTTTCCCTTCTTGTCCTCCTTTCTTGCGTTCCTTGGACGTCGATGAGGACGGTTCTTCCGTATCCCCCATTTCTTCATCCGAGGAAACATGATCGCTGCTGAGAAGCTCACGGATCTTCTTCATCGCCTTCTCATTCCCAGCAGCCTCCTCATAGTTCTTGCAGTCGCCGTCGTGGGCCAGGTTCGCGCATCTCATGCAAATTCCCATCTCTCCCATGCACTTTTCCATTGAGACCAGGAACTCGAGTGCAGCTCTCCGCCCATCAATCACTCGCTGCTTCTTCTCTTCTTTCTC